GGGGAGGGGTGTGGGGGGAGGGGTGTAGGGATGTGCAAAAGAGACCAGCAGCTGAGCCAGACTCTGATGGGTCTGACCCCACATGTGTCAAAAATTGATTCTGATTCATCAGAAGGTTCAGATGACAGTCACACTGACATTGAATGATTGAAGGACAGTTTTGATTAACATCTTAATGACATGAGTTCTGGTACTTAATAAAGATACTGGCAGAGGATTTGAAAGCTTTTTAATATTTGGAAAATTATTTAACTCAGTCAGGGTTTTGTTCTTTCTTTGTTGTTGTCGTAATATAGTTATGTTATTGCGATTATTTGCCAAAACACATTACCCATAGTTAGGATACAAATAAATTATTTAATAAATGTAGCAACCGGGCCACCGGAAAATCCATTTGGCCACCTGAATCTCATACTCAAGTGGCCCGGCCGGCCACCTGAAAAAAAAGTTAAGGGCAAGCCCTGTTTATACCCCATTAATAATTTTACGAGATATAATGTACAGTATTTGGAAGACAACAGTAGAATGCTTGCATATATTTGGCAAAGAAAAATCATTTAAAAACACAAAGCATTTGAGAAGAAAATCTAATCTAATATGAATATCAACTGCAAAGAAAAATGGTTGCAAAATGTCTTTGAAAGGGGAAATAATATAAGAATCCAACCTGCATGCCTGCTGTTGTTCGCTCCAGTCGGCTTGATGTAACCTGAGGTCCTCTATGACTCTTGACCGTAGAACAGAGTAACTCTCACTGATCTTCTTTTTCAGCTCCTCTGAAATAACAACACAATGTGGAACCATATAGTAATGTGGTGGGTTTGCAAATGCATGCTTTCACAGTGAAGCTAATATGTTGTAACCATCTGAAGTGTTAGGCTATCAAAATCGAGTTTACAAATGTTTCGCAGTGACTGTGCTATTTGATTTTAGTGTTTCAAGGTTTTTGGAGTAGATTATGGGACAATAAATTCAAACTGCATTAGCTGTCATTTCTTACCAGAGCAGGATATTGTAGTTCTAGACTTGTAATTGCCCATATCGACCTGCTCTAACTCCTGTCATGATATAATTATGTACATGTGCATCACACGTCCATGTTATATCACCAGCATGATGATGAATGAAGTATATACATCTCCGCACATAGCTTGGGCAGTCCTACATCTTCATGATGGGACTGGTAGAAATTCTCACACCTGTCATACACCAGCACAGAATATTAAGCCAGAGTGAAATAGATAGAATTATTTGAGGAACAATGGTCCTATGTCATTACTTAGGAATTCAATAACATAATACATTCATATATAATCAATAATATACACAGCCACATGTCCACATTGGTTACCAACGATTACATTGCAGTGAAAAGATAGGTACTAAGGAGTCCGTAGGACCTAGTAAACAGGTTCGAATATGGGTGGATAGTTGATTTAATACGAGTCAGTATTACTAGCCATTCACTATGGGTGCATGGGTTCACTTCAAGATGAAGTCCAACAAGTTTGGTGCATAGGCACTTATGCTGTTTTTATTATAACATGATGGTAAAAAAATACAAATTGCATTTCTACCAAAGTTATGTTTGTGCACTCTGTATAACCTAATAACTCCACGTAAATGCTGTTCAAATGCTCCTCTGTGATGCACAATCTTACCGCACACACTTTGCACAAACTCACAGAAAGACAGATAGGTGCATGGAAAGGGTGAATGTCAAATTCACACAACACTCGCTGCATTCCACAATAGACTAACAATTAATATTGTTAGACCATGAAGCCACTGATCTCTATATACTAACTGGACACTCAGTTCTTAGCTGTCATTCAGTGAAGCCACCAGAAGTATACCACCACTCCCATGAGTATCATAGAATAATTATAGAATAGGCTAAGATGAGTTTTCATGTGACTCATGATGTCACCTACAAAACCTCTATATATACAGACTATCTTTTTCTCTCTATATCTCTCTCTCCCTATCTCTCACTCTCTCGCTCTATCTCTCTCTCTCTCTCTCTCTCTCTCTCTCTCTCTCTCTCTCTCTCTCTCTCTCTCTCTCTCTCTCTCTCTCTCTCTCTCTCTCTC